GCCCTCCGCCCTCGGGACGGAGGCACCGTGAGCGCAGGAGCCGGTGTCATGTGCGTAAACGAGGCTCTAGGAAGCCGAGGATAGATTTCACAGGAACGTGGTGGCTTGTACTGGAGGACGCGCGTTAGCTGCTATTAGGAAGTACTTAAAAAAATCAGGGAGGTCGTTTCCCTTGCAGCTCCGCCACCATCTGCTGTGTGGACTGAGTCAGCGTGAGGTAAATTTGCAGCTTCGCGCTCCTCTCAGAGGCAGTGTGCTTTCTTGTCCCTTTAAAACACGGTCATCTCGCCTCGCTTCCAAGAAGTCTTGGGTGTCTAGTGAAGTGGCCCCGTCAGTGGGTCCGGGAGGCTGCTGCTGTCCGAAGGGAATCAGAGTTTGGATTTGGGAGGCCCTTTGGGAGTCCAAGTTCGCCTCCCGGTTAGACCAGAGCTGCCTTTTCTCTCTTGGGGGTAGGGGTCAGCGTGTGGCGGAGGGGAACGGTGAGTCCTCTCCACAGACTCGGCCTCCCTCAGTCTTCCACAGCGTTTTTCGCACAGAGAAAGGAAGATAAAGGAGGGCGAGCGTGCGGCCCGCACTTTCTTCTGGCTCGTGCCTTCCCGCCACTCGCACTCCGCGCCATCTTAGCTCTCTTGCAGCCTCACTCGGGCTGAGCGTGGCTGCCCACGTGCGCCGCTCGGGCCGAGAGGCCGCAGCCTCGGTTCTTGGCCGTCGAGGGGGATGCCGCCCGTCGGTGTGGACGGAGGCGGGAGCCGAGCGCGCCGCCGCGCTGGAGGGCTGCGGCGACGGGTGGCGAGTCGGCCCTGCCCCCTCAGGCGAGGTCGCAGCCTGGCCCCTGGCCCCTGGCGCAACGGGGCGGGCCGCGCCGGGGCCTGGGCCGGGCTCTCCTGCTTCACCGTCGGGCGGGCGGACAGCTTCCTGTGTCCCGGCTGTGCTGGTTTACGCGTGCTCACATGAGACAGACCCAAGACAATGATTGTACTCACATGCATTTATAAATTTGAACTGAAAATGAATCAGATTACACATGCCTACTCTGCAAAGGGAAATAATCTGAAGAAGTTTAAGGGTTTTGATATCCATAGCAATTTCTTCAGAAAAATCACAGGCCACTGGAACGACTCCACTATCATATTTTCTGTGACTCTGCCACTTGTTGCTACTCCGACTTCTTGGGCTTGTTTCCGGGGGATTCACCAACTAATA